TGCCTTTGCTGGGACACCTTAAAGCAGACATCTGGTAGCCAGGGTTGAGCGCCAGGACCAGGATGAGACCGCGGCCCTCCTTCGTGGGTCTCAACTCCTCCGGCCTCCCTGGGCCATGCCTCAGACGCTCTCCAGGAGGCTCAGTCAGGCATCAGCTGCTGTCTGGTGCACCTCTTGGAGCGAGGGGGCACGGGGACGGCCCGCTGATGCCAGCAGGCACTGGGGTGGAAGAGCAGTGTGACCTCACCAGCTGTGGTCATACTCCAGGGAGCAGGTGGGTGCTGCATCAGGATTCTCCACCCGGCGGTGGCTGCTGTGGGGAGTCCACTCTCGGGGTACCATCCACGGACTCAGTAAATCCTGGTTTAAATCTAGGGAGGGTGCCCTCAAGCCCTAAACATGGTAAGACATATGTAAATCTCCCTGGAGAAAAAATAACATATATGGGGACAGGCACTGTAGCCAAGCAAGTGGAGCTGGCATCAAGATGTCTGTGGTGCCCGCGTCCCTATGAGCACCAGTGCAAGTTCCGGCTGCTCTACTTCTGATCCAGCTGATGCCCTTGGGAAAGCAGCAGAGGATGGCTCCAGTGCTTGGACGCATACACCATGTAGGGGACCAGGCAGAATGGCTGTGACCATCCCAGTCCTTTGGGGCATGAACCAAAAATCTTTTTGTTCCCCTCTCCATCCCTCTGTACCTCTTTTTTTTTTTTTTCAAATAGATCAACCAATGTAAGTATATATAGAAGCAAAGACTCCAGGGAAATTCTTCTTTCATGCTCATGTTCCATGCCAAGGGGGCAGCTGCGTGGAAAAGTGCCCAAGGTGGCAGACTGAGGGGAACCTGCAGGACCTGCCCGGGAGGATTCTTCCCAGCTGCTCTGGGTGGCATCCTTCCCTCCAGGGATGCAGCAGCACACTGCCCACCTGCTGCAGGTGGGAGGGCAGCACGTCTCCCCCTGGAGAAGGGCAGCATTTCTGTGACTCACAGCGGGGAGGATTGGAGGGAGGCCGGAGACACCTGCCAGCTCTGTGTCCCTTCCAGTCAGCTCCCACAGCGGTGGTCCCTGGAGACTGTAGCAGAGCTAAGGCCACACCACCACTGCGAGCTGCTGCAGGTAGGTGGTGACACGGGTGCACACGAGGCCTTCTGCCCCACAGATCTCAAGACAGCGTGGCTCCCACAATGCTCCACGAGCGTGACACTTGATAAATGACCCCATCGTTAGTTAACCTCCACCTGCAGCGCCAGTGTCCAAGTGGGCGCCAGTTTGAGTCTCGGCTGCCCTGCTTCCAGTCCGGAGCCCTGCTGCTATACCTGGGAGGGCAGCAGAAGGTGGTGGGCCAAGGGTCTGGGCCCCTGCACCCACATGGAAGAGCTGGATGAAGCTCCTGGCTCCCGGCTTCAGACTGGCCCCTTCTAGCAATTTTTTCAAGCAGGGCGCTTCGTGTGGCTGCCCCTCACCACGGCCCTGAGCGCCACAGGCCCCTTTGTCCAGGTGTGACTGAATGCAGGACGGGCCTGTTACCAGGAGTTGCTTCAGGACGCGTCTCTCTTCAGCAGCTCCCAGGCCTTCCACAGCACCTGGCTGTTCCCTGTGCCACAGCAGCACACGTTGGGGGCTATTGTGCTCCACAGCAGCCCCCCAAGACAGGCCAGGTCCTAAATGCACAGACTCCGTCTAGAGGTCATACTGCCCGTCACCCTCTGCCACCCCAGGAGAGCCAGGACAGTCATCCGCAGCAGCCCCCACCCCACCCTGCTTCAGGCCAGAGACACTTGTGCCCGCAGAAAGACCCCTCTGGGGGCTGGAAGGACACAACCACACGATGGGGACAGAGCCTGTCTGCGAGTCCAGGGGGAAGGCTGAGACCAGAGCTAGGGTCCACTCACGAGGACGGAGTGAGTACTGGGGTCAGAGGTGACAAGGATGCGACCAACGTGGACATACCACCAGGACAGCGGTCCTGTCCTGAGCCAAAGCACTCAGGTGGCATGGCCAATGGGCTGCGCTTTGGGGAGATTGTCTTCGAGCCCCAGCAGCGTCACAGACTCAGAGGCCAGGACATGGGAGGCACAGACTTGGGGGCACAGTACATGCAGTCATGTGGGGAGAAGCTGTGGGTGGACGGTGCATGGCTGCACACCAGGCCCTGGAATCGCCTCTGTGGCAGCCGCAGCCACACAGGGAAAGCAGTCGGTTCACAGCCCAGGGAGAGTTGAGGGCAGGCAGGGAAGGAGGAAGAAAATGAGAATCCCGTGTCCCAGAAACCAGAAGCTGGAAGGAGCAAGTCTGAGAGGGAGTGTATTCACCGGGATGGGACAAGGAGGGCTGGGTGGCAGGATGCTGGGGAGCTGCTGCAGTGGGCAGCACGGAGCCTCCAGGCACCCAGAGAATGGGTGGGTACGATGACAGACTGAACGAGAGGGAGAGGAGGGCGTAAGAGGAACAAGCCTGGATACTGCTCCGCCCGCGAGTGAACAAAGGCCGTCCTCCAAGTCACCCTGGCAGACTCCCCCTCCGTCCTTCATGGTTATCTATTATTCTTTTGGAAAGACTTATTTGTTGATTTGATAAAAGGCATGATAGATACACAGAGACAAACCTCCCACCTGCTGACTCATTGCCCAATATGGCCAACACAGCTGGGACTGGGCCAGGCCAAAGCCAGGAGCCAGGATCACCATCGGGTCTCCTGCATGAGTGCAAGGGACCCCTGCATTTGGGCCCTGCTCCATTGCCTTAGCAGGGAGCTAGATGTGAAATGGAGCAGCCGGGACTCAAACCACTGACTGTTGGAATGCCAGCGTCTGCATGACAGATGGTGGACTTAAGCCACTACACCACAATGCCAGCCCCAAATGCCTCATTTCTGCAGAAATCCAACACTAAGGGCCACACTAAAGACATCTGCTCTTAACCACTTCACATGCTTGTCCATCTTGGGGTGTCCACGTTGGTGTTCCGGGGAGGAAGTGGTGTGGAGGCCTTTAGCCTCCCCCACGTTCATTTCTTAGCTGTGCAAGCTGAGGCCAGGCAAAGAGAGCAGCCCAGCTCTCTCCCTCCTGCCCCAAGCGGTTCAACTCAGGCAGAGAGAGCTCGGCCCAGTTCTATGATATAGCATGTTAAGCCTCCGCCTGCAATGCTGGCATCTCATATGGATGGCGGTTCGAGTCCCAGCTGCTCCATTTCCGATCCAGCTTCCTGCTAATGCTCCTAGGGAAGCGAAAGCATACAAAGGTGGCCCACGTGCTTGACACCTGCCATCCACGTGGGCGAGCTGCAAGAAGCTCCTGGCTTCTGGTTTAAGGCTGATCCAACCGTGGCCTTGGCAGCCATGTGGGGGCTGGGATGAACCAATGGGTAGCTGATCTCTCTCTCTGAGTGTGGGTATGTGTGTCACTCTACCTGTCAAATAAGTAGAATCTTTTTCAAGAAGGAGGCAGAAAGAAACTTTCACACCGAGGGAGACCCAGGCGTTGGGGAATTACATTAAGATTGGATTAGATATTCATGACAGTGACAGATTAGATAGGTGGCTCTCCCGTGCCCCTCGGATGCCTGCCACAGCCGGGGCTGAGCCAGGCCACAGCCAGGACTTGGGAATTCAGTCAGGGTGCCAGGGCCCTGGCACTGGAACACCGGCTGCTGCCTTCCAGGGTATGCATTTGCAGGAAGCTGGGGTTGGAAGCCAGAGGTGGTCCTTTGACGCCGGACATCGGAGTCCTAACCGCGAGGCAAGATGGCAGCCGGCTCTTTGCTGCCTCTTTCTCCTTCTCTCTCCGCCTCCCCGTGTCTCCTTCTGTCTGGGTGGTTTTATCAGCAACGGAAGCGCTGATGCAAAGGACCCTCCATGGAATTCCGCTAAATTGGTTTCACACAGGAGGGCGTTTCCAAACAGCTCAGGGAAGATGGAGTCGGAAGACACACTTGCTGCATGCCTCTTGACACGGGAAGGGGGAGGGTCCCCCAGGGTGTCCTCGCCTTGCACGCACCAGCATCCCATCTGGCTGCCGGTTCTAATCCCGGCAGCCCCGCTTCCCATCCAGCTCCCTGCCTGTGGCCTGGGAAAGCAGTCGAGGACGGCCCAAAGCTTTGGGACCCTGCACCCACTTGGGAGACCCAGAAGAGGCTCCTGGCTTCGGATCAGATCAGCTCAGTTCTGGCCATTACAGCTGCTTGAGGAGTGAATCATTGAACGGAAGATGTTCCTGTCTCTCTGTATATCTGACTTTCCAATACAAAATAAAATCTTACCAAAAAAAAAAAAATCAGGTCTCCTCTGAACCCAGCTCCTTCTCAGTCCCTCCTCTCTCTCTCGGAGTGAGGGGCGACCCTCCATCCCCGCCCCTCCCTTCCACTCTCGCAGCGTTCACACCCTGCCTTCCTGGGGGTGGGGGAAGCAGCCCCGTGTCCGCAGCGTCCCCACCCTCCCTGGGTGACAATTCTCACAGTCACCGAGCCGGGGATTAGAAGCTCCCCAGCGCCCCTGAGTCATCAGTGGGAGAGGGAAGCGGGTCGGGTTCTGCCGCCCCGGGTCCCTTCCTCCTGCTGCGGGGCTCAATTAGTGCGCATTAGCCCAGTCCTGGGGGGATTAACGCACGCTCCCCACCCCGGCTTCCTCATCCCCTACCCTCAACCCAGAAACCAGACGGGGCTGGGGCACCGCGAGTTAAAAGCTGGCGGGCACCACGTCCGGGGCAGCCAGGTGGAAGGAGGGGGGACAGACAGGTGGGGCAGGTGGCATGCCGGGGACCAGGCAGTGGGAGGATTGACTGGCGGAGTGTTCTGCGGATGAAAGGCCAGGTGGGCAGGGAGAGATAGCAGAGCGAGATCCGGGGCAGAAGGAGACGCAAAGTGAGACCATCGCTGATGAGGGGAAGGCCCGGGCGGGGAGGGTAAAGGCTGGGAGGAGGGGAAGGGGCATCCAGGGCAGAGCTGAGATCCGCCCTCTTTCCCCCATCCCACCCCCGCCAGACCTCAGGGGTGACCCGCCATGCAACATCCCAGCCTCCTTCTGATCCTGTGTGTGCTTGGTGAGTCCTGGGGCAGTGAGAGGGCAGAGCTGTTCGCCCCCACCCCGTCAGCCCCTGGCCCGCATCCCGCGCCATCCCTCCCTCCTTCCCCCATCTCATGCTCTGGCCCCCACCCGCAGCGCGTGGGGGAGGGGCCTTCTCAGAGCATCCAGCCCCTCACCTGTCAGGGCCCAGCCTCACCCATCTCTCCTGGGACCTCGCTACCTCTGGGTCTCCCCGGGGCCTGCTTCTCCTTTCCGGTCTTCCTAAATCCCCGGCTCCCTCTCTCTCTAACCCACAACCTTGCTGCTGTCCGGCTCACAGCCCTGGCCCCAGGCCGAGGCCAGGCAGACACGGAGAAGATCGTCAACGGAGTGGAGTGTGTCCCACACTCGCAGCCGTGGCAGGTGGGACTGTTCGAGGGCACGAACCTGCGCTGCGGCGGGGTCCTCATCGACCGCCGCTGGGTCCTCACCGCTGCGCACTGCAGCGGCAGGTAAGCCCCTGCCCCTCCCGGGGCAAGGAAGGGAGGCTGAGGGGGCGGCGGCTCGGCAACAAGGATGTGTCTCCGGGAAGAGAGACGGGGAGGGGTAGCGCGGGCAGGTGCGCCAGAGCGCGCGGAGGGGACGCGGGTGCCTGGGAGCGCAGCCCCCCCAAAAGGTGTCTAAGGCACGGGGAGGGCAGGTACGCCAGCGCACGCGGAGGGGACGCCGGTGCCTGGGAGAGCAGCCCCCTAGGGCCGAGCACCGAGCGCCCCTGCGCCCCCCAGCAGGTACTGGGTACGCCTGGGGGAACACAGCCTTAGCCGGCTGGACTGGACCGAGCAGATCCGGCGCAGCGGCTTCTCCGTGACCCACCCGGGATACCAGGGTGCACGGCAGAACCACGAGCACGACCTCCGGCTCCTGCGGCTGGGCACACCTGCCCGGCAGACCCGCAGCGTGCAGCCCCTCCCCCTGCCCAGCGCCTGCGTGGCCGCCGGCACGGAGTGCCACATCTCCGGCTGGGGCACCACCAACCAGCCATGGAGTAAGGGGGCTCTCCGGGTCGGAGGTCAGGGGTCAGCAGGGGCAACAGTCAAGAGCCTGGAAGCTTCAGGGAAAAGATGAGGAAAGGTCCGAGCTTGGGGTGAGAGGTCACCATAGGTTTGGGCCTCAGGTCAAAGGTGTAGGGTTGAGGTCGCACAGTGCAGGCCAAATCTGAGAATAAAAACAGATCTGCGCCATGACGCTTGGGATGGCAAGATCTAGAGACACCGTGGAGGTGTGGGACCTGTGAGATGGAGGTGAGCTCAGGGGTCAAGGTGATGACAAAGGTTGAAGGTCAAAGGTCCCAGTATCCTGGAAGGGCAGGTGTCCACTCATTGCATCTGAAGTTGAAAAGATGAGGCGGGTCTTGAGGTATGATACGCCAAGTCACAGGTCAAAGGTCACAGAAGCTGCCGAATGACGTGGGGTCAAGGGCCACTGAAACCCAGAGGTTTTAGGTGGGGACTGAGGGCCCCTGGGCGGGGAGGGGGCGCGGCCCCTGAGTGGGCAGCAGCTCCGGGAGTCCCTACAGCACTCATCCCCACCCCAGGCCCATTCCCTGATCGGCTGCAGTGCCTCAACCTCTCCACCGTGTCAGACACCGCCTGCCAGTCCGTCTTCCCTGGTAGGATCACCGACAACATGCTGTGCGCCGGCGGCGTGGCGGGCAAGGACGCCTGCCAGGTGAGCTGGGCTGGACCCCGATGGTGGCAGAGAGAGGGGTATGGGGGTGGGGAAGGAGCAGGGACACGGGCCAGGGGCACAGATGAAGGGACAGCATGGGCAGCAAGGAGGACAAACAGCTGGCCAGGAGTTGGGATTCAACCCTCTTCATCCCTACTGTGTCCTTGCCCAGCTCCGGGTCCCTTGGGGGAGGTGGCTCCAGCCTGCCCTCTGCAATAGGCACCCGGCCATTGCCCTGAAAGAACCCGCTACCTGCATGAAGTTCCGGCCTCCACCCCTGGGATTGGTCGAGGGCGATAGCATCCTCTTTCCTCATTGGCTGGAACCCCCTTCAGAGAACGTCCTCTCATGAAGTTCCGCCCTCTACCCCCTGGGATTGGTCATGGGTGATAGCATCCTCTTCCCTCATTGGCTGGAACTCCCTTCAGAGCACTTCCTCCTTCCGGCTCTCCTTGCTTGGGATTGGCTCCCCAGGACAGTGCCTTCTCTATGAGTCGGCCATTGCCGTTGTCCATTGGAACTTGGCTGTGCTCCCTTTGGCTACCGACCAGGCTTAGCCCCGGGATGGGTTGGGCCTTGGAGGCAGGAAAGCGAAAAAACGAGGTCTTCCCTTCTGCCTTCCAGGGTGACTCTGGGGGCCCGCTGGTGTGTGGAGGCGTCCTCCAGGGGCTGGTGTCCTGGGGCTCCGTGGGCCCCTGTGGGCAGAGAGGCATCCCAGGAGTGTACACCAAAATCTGCAAATACGTGGACTGGATCCGTGGGATCATGAGGAACAATTAGGTGTACTGCACCTGGGACCGCAGCCTTCAACCGGGAGCTGCTCCATGACCCCTCACTGCAGCTGAGCTGGGGACCTTCTGCAACTCCTAGTCCAACCATGGTGGGAGCCGGGAGAGTGTGCAGGGGCTCTGTCCATCTGTTTTATCTCCCTGTACTGCTTAAGACCCCAGAGAAGCCCCCCCCCCCCCAGCTGCTGCACCTACGAGTGTAGACACAGAGATCAGAGGGGGGCAGGGTTGTAGTGCAGCCCAACCAGCTGCCACCTGCTACCCCAGCATCCTATGTGGGCACTGGTGGGAGTCCTGGCTGTGCCACTTCCCATCCAGCTCCCTGCCTGTGGCCTGGGAAAGCAGGGGAGGATGGCCCAAGGGCTTGGGACCCTGCACCCCTGTGGGAGATCTAGAAGCTCCTGACTCCTGCTGCAATCACTGGAAAGTGACCAGTGGATGGAAGATGTTTCTTTCTCCTCTAGAACTCTACCTTTCAAACAAGTAAATAAATCTTCAAAATAATAAAAATGACCCAGCTTCATTCTGTCTTCCCCTGGGGTCCCGTCTGTGCTCGCGCGCGTGCACACACACACACACACACACACACACACAGCAGGGAAGGGAAGTCCTGAGCGTGAGCCCCACAGCAGCTGTCGCCACCCCAGTGTCTTCATCTCAGCCAGCCCCCACCCCGAGGCAGGGCCGTCACCCCCATGTCGCCCGTGAAGAAACTGATCCTCCCGGGGCGGAGGCCCTCATCCCACGTCACCGCGGTCGGAAGAGGCAGAGCCGGGATTTGAGGCCAGGGCTGGCTGCCGTCAGAGCTTGGGCCTACCCCACCTTGCTCCACACCTTCCCAGGGGAGAGCCACAGAGGCAGACAGGGGAGACGGCAGCTGCCCGAGGCTGGCACAGGTGGCACTGAGGGCGCTGGACGTTGGCACCACAGTAAGTGCTGCCCAGGGAGATGGGGGAGGGGGACAGACAGGCCGTCGGAGGGAAGGGCCAGCAGGGCAATGAGGCCCCAGTGCAACCTGGGGCTGGGGCCGGCTGCTGGCTGAGGGCTCACTCGGCTCCCACAGGCCTGGACCTGCCGTTCCCACCCTGCCGCCTGACAGCTGCTCCACCTCTGTGATGCCCCAGGTTCCTCTAAAGAGGAAGGAAGCCAAGGGGGCCCCCTGAGCTCGGACTCCTGGGCGGGGGGAGTGGGGAGCAGGAGATGTAGGGAGGAGCTGACTGGGAGAAGCAGGGAAGATGGAGGAGCAGGAGGGTATCACAGTGGTGTGGAGCCAGGGCAGGGGGAGGAAGAGGGCAGAGCAGAGTCCCAGGGCGCTGAGAACTGGAGACAGAAAGAGGCCAGCGAGACAGACACGCACCCCAGGCGGCTCGCCTGCCTGGTGCCTGGCTCTGGGACACAGCCCACCACAGTTGCCACCTCTAGAGCCTCCCTGGAATGCCAGGAGGGACTAGAAGCCCCCAGCCCCACCCCTTTGCAGGCACCTGTGCCGCTCCCCCACCCTCGGGCACCCATCCCTTCCTCCGCTCCACCCTTTTCAGCTGAGGGGGGCAGGAGAGGGCACTGGGCCCCTGTCACCTCCAACCCTTGAGGACTCTTGACCCCAGCTTCGGTCACTGAGTCCAACCATCCGCTCCCACCCCTTGCTGGCTCCAGGGCAGCTGAGGGCGTCCGCCCTCCCTTGGCCTAGCTCCGCCCAGTTCTGCTCAGCTGTCCTTCACAGGGGAAAGGGGGAGAAGGGTAGCAAGGCTGGGGTTTCACAGGGGGAGCAGGGTCCAACGGACCCTCCACCGAGCTAGGGCAGACCCCAGAGGAGCACAGGGGCTGAAGCCAAAGATTTCCAGGAGCTCAGGCAGGACTTCCTGGGGCCCCGCCCACTGCTTGCTTCAGCAAATCCCTGCTGGCATTCCAGAAGTTTCTCGCTGTGATCTAAGCCCCCTAACCCCTACCTCTAGCCCTCATCGCCCCACCTCCCCCTGCCCCCCGGCCAAGGCCAATCTGCAAGCTTCAAATCCTAGAGTCCTGGGTTGGACTGTTTGAGAATCAAGAGGTCCCCCAAAAGGCTCGCCTCTCAGGGGGTGGGAGCATAACAGATCCACCCCAAGTCCCCTGGAAGGTGACCAGGCCCGTCTTCCTCCTTGTCCCCAGAGGAACCTGGTGCCTGCCCTGCCCGCCTCCAGGCCATGCTACTGCGACTCCTCACCCTGGCTCTGGTGACAGGTATGGACTGCCCAGGCATCCCGACCCCCATACCTCTGGGGCCAGAATGAGGGGAGGCCCTTTGGATGCCTGGGGTGGGGTGAGGGAGAGGCGGGCGTGGGGAGGGTCAGGGGACAGAGGCAGACCCAGGCCAGTGCCAGCGCCTTCCTTTCCCTCTCTCCCACCCGGCCTGAGCCCCCTCCTTTGCCTCCAGGGCACGCAGGGACGGAGACCCGGATCATCAAGGGCTATGAGTGTCCCCCGCACTCCCAGCCCTGGCAGGCCGCCCTATTCCAGAAGACGCGGCTGCTCTGTGGGGCCACCCTCATTGCCCCCAGATGGCTCCTGACGGCCGCCCACTGCCTCAAGCCGTGGGTGCGGGGGCTGGGGCGGGGTTGGGAGGGGGCTGGAGCTGGAGAGAGTCTGGGAGATGGGAATTGGGAGGGGGGCTGGCAGAGGACCAGGAGCGTAGGTGCAAGGAAAGGATCTGGGGGCTGGGGGGGCAAGGGAGAATAGGGTGGGGACAGGACTGGTTGGAGAGGCTGCCCATTGGAACTAGCATGGGGTTGGAATCTGGTGCTTGAAGCCTGCACGGGGTGGCCATAAGAGCTGGGGTGAGGCTAGAAGTGGGGTCCGCCCCCAACCTGAGGCATCTCGCCACCCCTGCGCCGGGCCTTGCCCCATCCTCTCCCTCTCTGACTCTGCCCCTTGTCTCCCACCTCAGCCGCTACGTGGTTCACCTCGGGGAGCACAACCTGCAACGCCCAGACGGCTGCGAGCAGACACGGGCGGCCACGGAGTCCTTCCCTCACCCCAACTTCAACAACAGCCTCCCCAACAAGGACCACCGCCATGACATCATGCTGGTGAAGCTGGCCAGCCCCGCCTTCCTCACCCGGGCCGTGCGCCCCCTCGCCCTGTCGCAGCACTGCGTCACCCCGGGCACCCAATGCCTCATTTCTGGCTGGGGCACGACGTCCAGCCCCCAGTGTAGGGGTCCCACGGAGGGAACAAGGGGGGAAGAGGGGGCTTGGGGGCAAGAGGAGCCTGCAGAGGTGGGGTCCGGAGGGATGCTGGAGGATTTCCAGGTGGGAGGGTTGTCGTGGGCAGGTGGAAGTCAGGGCCTGGGAGGGCAGAGGCGAGAGGTGTGGGATTTGGGCAAGGGGCTACACCTTTTTGGACCTGAGCTTCTTCTCTGTAATGTGAGGAGAGTCTCCCTAGATGTTTTATATGATCTTACAGATTTATTTATTTATGTGAAAGGCAGAGTTACAGAGAGAGAATCTTCCATCCACTGGTTCACTTCCCAAAAGGCCACAGCAATCAGGGTACCAAAGCCAGGAGCTTCTCCCGCATGGGTACAAGGACCCAAGCACTTGGGCCAGCCTCTGCTGCCTTCCCAGGCACATTACCAGAGAGCAGGATCAAAAGTGGGGCAGCTGGGACTCGAACTGGCATCCATGTGGGATGCTGGCACTGCTAGCTGCGACTGCCCACCCCACCCCACTGTAAGGTTTTGATTCAGTAGCGCTGCAGACACTCAGAGGGCCCCAAGCAGGGGCACTCCCCATCGCGGGGGCTGCAGCAGAGGGTCCCACTCCCCACACAGCCTCCCGTGTCTCTGCAGTGCGCTTGCCCCACACCTTGCGATGTGCCAACATCTCCATCATCGCACACAGCGACTGCGAGCGCGCCTACCCCGGGAACATCACGGCCACCATGCTGTGCGCCAGCGTCGGAAAGGAGGGCAAGGACTCCTGCCAGGTCAGAGGGCAGGGCCTGAGTCTCCCGTCAGTACTGGTATCCCAAGCCCAGCCCCACTCATCCCCAGCCCGTTATCCCTACCTCAACACTACACCCACCACCCATCACCTGTTCTGCGGCCCTTCACCCAGCCCTCCCCTCTTACGCTTCTCTCTCTCTCTTCTCCCACCCAGGGTGACTCCGGGGGCCCCCTGGTCTGCAATGAGTCACTTCAAGGCATTATCTCCTGGGGTCAGGATCCGTGTGCTGTCACCCGGAAGCCAGGCGTCTACACCAAGGTGTGCCGATATGTGGACTGGATCCAGGCAACCATGGAGAACAACTAGTTCGGTGTGCAGCGCTTCCAACTGCCACTTTCTGTGCATTCTCTCAAGGAAGCAGGCCCAGTCAGGGTACCCCTCTGGCTGTCCAGGGTACCCCTCCAGCTGTCAGTGTACCCCTCTGGCTGTCCAAGGTACCCCTCCGACTGCCCAGGGTACCCCTCGGCTGTCCAGTGTACCGCTCGGCTGTCCAGTGTACCCCTCGGCTGTCAGTGTACCCTCGGGCTGTCCAGGGTAACCCTTGGGCTGTCCAGTGTACCCTGGGTTGGGGGGCCATCCCTGGCCACAAAAGCCAGCCATTGGTTCCTAACTGACCCGGGGCTTGCGATCAGCCAGATCTGAATACCCATTCTGGCTTGGACTAACTTCCTGACTCTTGAAGGCCCCTTCCTGGCATCTGCCATAGTTCTAATAAACATAACTTGTAAACCTACCAAGTGTTCCCTGCGTACCACAGCAACCCTGAGCCGAGGGATTTTAAACAAATCCCCCAAGATCATCCTTACAAAAGTTGGTACCATCGTCACGCCCATTTAACAGCCAGTAAAACCAAGGCTCCTGGGCACGCAGACTGTTAGCCGGAGAGCAAGGATCAGAGCTGGGCGACCTGGTGGCTCACTCCCCAGGTGCCCGTAGCAGCTGGGGAGAAGCCAGGCAAAAGCCAGGCGCCCACAATGCCATCCAGATCTCCCATGCCAGTGCCAGAGGGCCGAGGACTGGGGCCTGCCGGGGTGTGCGTGGTGGAGCAGAGCAGCCAGGATTTGAATCAGACACCCCAATGTGGAGTGAGAGCATCCCCCAGTGGGGCCTTACTCAAGGCACCATCCTGCGGGGATCTCTTAACCCCCATGACATCATCCTGGTTACGGCTGAATCTGCCTCTTTAACACGGTGTGTGCCAGTGTGTGAGAGCCCAGCAGGCTGGCCAGGCTGAGTCGGCAGGATGGAGCAGGTGTTTCCAGTGTCTGCGGAGACCTGGCCAATATGGTAGCCACTGGGCATGCACAGATGCTTCAACTCACACTCTGAGGGCTCTGTGGTGCTGGGTAACCACACCCACCGGTGGCTGCCACACCATCAGTGCATCTTCCTTGTGGGGAGCATCAAGGGTCCCCCACCCCCATGAGCTCAGTGTTCACAGCAGAAGGCACCCCACGGGAGCCCAGCTTCAGGAATTTTCCTTTGCAGAGAGAGGAAGCAGGCCCAGAATTGGCAGCAGGGCCTCCCGGCCTGTAGGCAGACCCTCAGCAGGACCTCCTGTGATTCATTGCAGGTTCTGAGTCTCCCAGCTGAACCAAGGGAGCTGGGCCTGGCAGGAGGTGGCGCGGGTGCCCTGACTGCCTTGGCCTCCTGTGTGTGGCTCATGGGCAGGGAGATGGGGCCACACACAGGCGCGACACAGAGGACAGACCACACAGAGGCCAGTGCCAGGACACACGGGGAGCCAGCTGCTCCAGCCGCGGGGACGCCTCTCCCTGGTTCCCCCTTTTCTCTGTGTTAGCTTCCCTCCTAAGTGCTGTTCCTAATGTGCCTCCCTGCCTCTTCCAGCCTGCTCCTTCTTCCCTTCTCCCCTCACTATTCCAGGCATGCACTTCCCGGCGTATTTCCTCTCTCAATCATTCTCACGGCCGCCCACTGCCTTCCACCCATCCCTGCTGGGCTCCCTGAGGCCACGGCTGCCATTCCCACCCACCCACCGACACACACCTGGGAAAAGCCAGTGCAGTGTTGACTGGCAAAACCCCCGAGTTCCCAAACCGGGTGTTTCAGGTGCAGGAGAAAGGCGTCTGTATTCCAGCAGCGTCCCTCCCAGGGCAGGAATCCGAAGCCCAGGTTGGGTGCCAGCCCCACCCCTGGTATAATTAGGCAGAGGGAAAAAGGAGGGAGTGAAACCCTCAGGGGGAGGGTGGGGAAGCTTCCGGGAACTCGGGGGTTAAAAAGGAAGTTCTGGCCAGGGGTCCAGGGGCAGAGGACACTCGGCGGCCCAGCAGGCAGGGCAGACAGAGACGCTCCGGGTGCCCTTCCATCCCTTCCCATCGGCGACTCGCAGGTGAAGCAGGATGCAGCGGGTCGTGAGAGGATGGGTGGGGACCCTCTGGTCCCGGGCCGCTGGTTCCTCAGTGCCAGATGCCCCAGGAGCTAGGCGAGGGATGCACCCTCCTCCCTTACACCCCTCTCTGCTGAACTGCTGACTCCGAGCCTGGGACCCCCGCCTCCCCCACCGCAGTGCATCTGCGAAGACAGGTGGACCACCGTGCTGGCCACCAGCGGGGCCGGGCCTGGAGGGAGGGAAAGCGCACCCAGGGCGGCCGCTCCAGCCCAGGCAGTTGCTGACCGGTCCCAGCGGGCTCCAGGCTCCCAGGACAGGCCTGGCCAGGAGAAGGGAGGTGGAGGGGGGGTCTCTGCCAGGGTATCTGTGTTAACCCACTCCCCACCGCAGCGCAGGTGCCGGCCATGAGGTCCCAGCACCTCCACCACTCCGCCGCCCCTGGCGTCCTGGCCTCGGGCAAGCTGCTGCTGCTGCTGCCGCTACTGATGGCGCAACTCCGGGGTGAGGCAGGAGCGGGCCCAGGGGAGGAGAGTGCCCTGCGGCGTGCGCCCACCCCACGGAGAGGGCCCTGCTCTCCACGCGGGACGCCCCTGGGGCTCTGTCCCACGCAGACCCCGGCCCCTTTACCGCCTCCCTTCCCGCTCGCCTTGCCCGCGGAACTGTTTTCCCCTCTGGCCTCTGGCTCTCGCTCCTTTTCCAACCATGTTTCCTTATCCTCAGCTCTTGCTCCTTCCATACCCGCAACCTGTTGCCCCTCACGTTATAGCCCCGCCCACTGTCCTCTGGCCCCGCCCTCCTCGCCTAGCCCCGTCCCCCGTCGGCCCTCGGTCCTTAAGTCCCGCCCCACAGTCCTCTAGCCCCACCCCGAGCTCATATAGCCCCGCCCTGCCAGGCCCTAGTCCCGCTCCTGGGTCCTCTAGTCCCGCCCCGCCTCATCTAGCCCCGCCCCTGCTCAACCCTCTGCCTTCTAGCCCCACCCACTACCCTCTAGTCACACCCCTCCTGGCCAAGTCTCGTCCCCTTGTCGGTCCCCTGCGTTGTAGCCCCGCCCCACTTCGCGCTAGCCCCGCCCCACCACACGTCTCTCGGCCAATCATCTGCTTTCTAGCCCCGCCCTACTGCCATCCAGCCCCGCCCCACGTCGCCCTAACCCCGCCCCTCGGTGGTCTGGCCCGCCCGCCGCTCTCTAGCCCCGCCCCCGGGTGGCTCCCGCCCCGCAGTGGCCGCACGCCCGGCCCTTCCAGGCCTGTCCCCTCTCCCGTCCGGCTCCCCCGCGACCCCCTCGCGGTCCGGCCGCCCCTGACCGCTCCCCTCTCTCTCCAGCCGCCGTGGCGCTGCTCCCGGGGAACGACACGGGCGCGGACCGCGCGGCCCCCGGCGCCCCGTGCCCGCGCCGCTCGCAGCCCTGGCAGGTGTCGCTCTTCAGCGGGCTCTCCTTCCACTGCGCCGGCGTCCTGGTGGACCCGAGCTGGGTGCTCACGGCCGCGCACTGCGGGGACAAGAAGTAGGGACAGCCGGGCCGCCTCGGGACTCCGGGCTGGGAGTGGGGTCATCTGGGGGAGGACATGGGGCTCGTGCCCGGCCGCCAGGCGGCGGTGTGCGCCTTCTCTGCCCTTAACTGACTCCTCCCTCATACCCAGGGGTCCAGGCCTCCTCCCTCACACCCAGGGGTCCAGCCCCTCCTCTCTCACACCCAGGGGTCCAGCCCCTCCTCCCTCACACCCAGGGGTCCAGCCCAGCCCCTCCTCCCTCATACCCAGGGGTCCAGCCCCTCCTCCCTCACACCCAGGGGTCCACCCCCTCCTCCCTCATACCCAGGGGTCCAGCCCCTCCTCCCTCACACCCAGGGGTCCAGCTCCTCCTCCCTCACACCCAGGGGTCCAGCCCAGACCCTCCTCCCTCACACCCAGGGGTCCAGCCCAGACCCTCCTCCCTCACACCCAGGGGTCCAGCCCAGACCCTCCTCCCTCATACCCAGGGGTCCAGCCCCTCCTCCCTCACACCCAGGGGTCCACCCCCTCCTCCCTCACACCCAGGGGTCCAGCCCCTCCTTCCTCATGTCCCTCACACCAGGACTCAGGTGTCACCCACTGCCCCGCAAGCCTGCTGCCTCCTAACCCCGGGTTCTCCAGTGAAAGCCTTGCCTCCGAATGCGTCTCCCCCGCCCCCTGCAGGTCACTGTGGGCTCGGGTCGGGGACGACCACCTGCTGCTCCTCCAAGGCGAGCAGCTGCGCCGGACCACTCGCGCCATCGTGCACCCCAGCTACCGCGGGGGCGTGCGCCCCATCCTGCCCAGGCGCACGGACGAGCACGACCTCATGCTGCTGAAGCTGGCTCGGCCCGCCGTGCCAGGACCGGCCGTGCAGCCCCTGCGGCTGCCCTACCGCTGTGCAGAGCCGGGGGACCAGTGCCAGGTGGCGGGCTGGGGGACCACGGCCAGCCGCAGAGGCAAGAGCCGGGCGCCTCAAGGGGGCACGGGACGCGGTGGTGGGGCTGGGAGGAGCTCAGGGGCTAGACCCACGTCGCCTGCCCGCTCTCTCCTCAGTGAAGTACAACAAGGGCCTGAGTTGCTCCCAGGTCACTCTCCTGAGCCCCCAGCAGTGTGAGGTCTTCTACCCTGGCGTGGTCACCTCCAACATGCTGTGTGCCGGCCTGCAGCGCGGCCAGGACCCTTGCCAGGTAGGCACTGGCTGGGAGGGGTCTGCGTCTCAGGAGAGAGGGAGGGGACGGCAGCAGCGGAACCCTTGTCTCCCCCAGTATTCCCGGTGTCCTGCCCCCTCCTCATCCTTGCCCTCCGCCCATTCCCCTCGCCCAGGCCTCCTGAGTGCCGCCTTCATCCCTGTCTCCAGCCCCCGCTCACCAAGCCGCCCCCTCCTCTGCCCTCGCCACAGCCCTCCAGCGCAAGCTGCAGAGGCAACCCCTCGCCCTGCGGGTTATTCTAGCCTGGAGTGGGGGTCCCCGTGTGGACAGGGCGCTCACTGGCCCTCCCCTTCTGCTCTCCCTCTTACAGAGTGACTCTGGGGGGCCCCTGGTGTGTGATGAGACCCTGCAGGGCATCCTGTCCTGGGGCGTCTACCCCTGCGGCTCTGCCCAGCACCCGGCTGTCTACACTCAGATCTGCAGATATGTCTCCTGGATCAGGAAAACCATCCTCTCCAACTGACCCCCAGCCCTGCTGCCCTCTGCCCTCAGCTCCTGCCAAGCAGCACCTCAGGATACCTCTCCCCTCGTTCTCTGTCAAGGACAGGAAGAGGGCACAGGAAGTGCCCCCCAAGCTTTCTCTGCACTGCCAGCGGAACGGGACAGCCACATACCCCCATGGGCAGTGTACTGACCTCCACAGTGGGAATAATGAAGTGCCTACCTCTTATCCGTGTGGCGAGGACGCCTGTGCGTGCGTGTGAATCCTTGTGGGAATGACCGGGCAAGCCTTCCAACAGTGGGCTTGACCCCAGCCCCTGTTGTCACCAACTGGCCATATGCAGGAAGGCAGGAACCTGTACGTCTGCCCCTCCGGCCCCCACGGGCTGATGGGAAATTCTTCCCCGTCCTCCTCCTGGCTCCTGAAGGAAGCACCCTTAGCTGCTTCTTAAACCCCTGGCACCTCTTTGGCCCCACCCAGTGCCAGTGTCTCCTATGACAGTGGTCACTGGGATTGCAGGGACGTCCCCCACCCTCCCCACCACCCCGACCGTCCATCCCAGCAGCCCAGGCTGAGCTCGCCCCCCATGCCCCAGGGGGGCCAGTACCTATGCCCTGCTGCTGAGTGTGCATCCCACAGGCATGGGAGGAAACTTCCTCCTGTATCCTCTCCCAGCAGTGGTCCCAGCTTTGTGCTGAGATGGTGGGATCGGCCTGGGTAACCATCTCCACACAGAGCGTGGGCAGAGCTGGCAGGGACCTGCATGGACCTTGGTGCTGTACACTAGGCTGAGCGCACACTGTCATCCCTATGCCCCAGGTTAATGGAGGAGCACAAGCCCCTCCTCCCTCACACCCAGGGGTCCAGCCCCTCCTCCCTCACACCCAGGGGTCCAGCCCAGACCCTCCTCCCTCATACCCAGGGGTCCAGCCCCTCCTCCCTCACACCCAGGGGTCCAGCCCCTTCTCTCTCACACCCAAGGGTCCAGCCCAGCCCCTCCTCCCTCACACCCAGGGGTCAGCCCTCCCCCTCACCCAGGGGTCCAGCCAGCCCTCCTCCCTCACACCCAGGGGTCCAGCCCCTCCTCCCTCACACCCAGGGTCCAGCCAGCCCCTCCTCCTCACACCCGGGTCCAGCCCTCTCCCTCACACCGAGGGGTCCAGCCCAGCCCTCCTCCTCACACCCAGGGGTCCAGCCCCTCTCCTCACACGAGGGGTCCAGCCCTCCTCCCTCACACCCAGGGGTCCAGCCTTCTCTCTCACACCAGGGTCCAGCCCAGCCCCTCCTCCCTCACACCAGGGGTCCAGCCCTCCTCCTCACACCCAGGGGTCCAGCCCAGCCCTCCTCCCTCACACCCAGGGGTCCAGCCCCTTCTCCCTCACACCCAAGGGTCCAGCCCAGCCCCTCCTCCCTCACACCCAGGGGTCCAGCCCCTCCTCCCTCACACCCAGGGGTCCAGCCCAGCCCTTCTCCCTCACACCCAGGGTCCAGCCCTTCTGCCTCACACCCAAGGGTCCAGCCCAGCCCCTCCTCCCTCACACCCAGGGGTCCAGCCCAGCCCCTCCTCCCTCACACCCAGGGGTCCAGCCCTTCCTCCCTCACACCCAGGGGTCCAGCCCCTCCTCCCTCACACCCGGGCATTCAGCTCTGCTGGACTGTGGGGACCTTCAGAGGTGTGTGTGATCTTGAGTACAAATTCGATCCCACAGGATCCTATGGCCAGCTGCTGCCCATCCCGCCCCCATCCACACGCCCAGGAAATGTCGACCAAGCATGTCAGCTGAGTGTGGCGTGCCAGGGTCACAGGCAGAGGAGGCGGGACACCGCAGACACCTGAGTCATGTGCAAAGGCAAATCATTGCTTCCTTTGACTCTACGCCGTTGACTGGGCTGTGTCCTGCACCACCAGGGCCTGGAGGTGATGCGGGCCAAGGCTTACCCTCAAGGAGCTGCTAGTCAGGTTGGGGAGAGAGGCAAGTCTTACATTCCTGTCATTCAGATCTCCACTCCAAAGCCACTTCCTCCAGGAGGCCTTCCTGGATTGCCCCGGCTACACAGGTCTCTCCTTGGTCATCAAACTCATTACTCAGTTGTTTTTTTTTTTTTAAGGTTTATTTTTATTTTTATTTTTATTGGAAAATCAGATATACAAAGAGGAGGAGAGGCAGAAAGGAAGATCTTCCATCCATTAATTTACTCCCAAAGTGACCACACAGCTGGAGTTGCGCTGATCCAAAGCCAGGAGCTCAGAGCCTCTTCTGGGTCTCCTATGCGGGTGCAGGGTCCCAAGGCTTTGAGCCGTCCTCGGCTGCTTTCCCAGCCAAATGCAGGGAGCTGGATGGGAAGCAGGGCCGCTAGGATTAGAATCAACGCCAATATGGGATTCTGGCATGTTCAAGGCAAGGATTTTAACCACTAGGCTACTGTGCCAGGCCCAGTTTTTTTTATTCTTGATGTCCCCCTCCCCTGGAAAGATTTATTTATTTATTCTAAAAGCATGGAGAGAAAGTTCCATCCACTGGCCACAGCAGCCAGGACTGGGCCAACCCAAGCCTGGGCGCCTGGAGCAGCACCAGGTGTTCCCACGCGGGCACAGGGGTCCACGCATGCGGGCCAGGCCCTGCTGCCTTCCCAGGGGCATTATCGGGGGGCTGCGTCCGAAGCAGAGCAGTGCTCACAGAGGGGGACTTGTGCACTGGGACTTCGTGCGCACCTGCTACAGCGCATCCGAGAGTGACCGAGCGACAGGGCTGATGGAGGAGGAGACTGCAGGTGGTGCGCCAAGGGAGTCCCCGACAAGTGGGAGCCCACTGGGTCCAAAAAGGCCATCCCCTTGCTTGAACTGCCTGTTGACTGCCTGCGGGAGGCAGATCCCTGAGAACGCGAGGTGGCACCACGCATGAGTGGCTAACGAAACACCGAACAGCCGAGAAAGGTCGCTCTTGAAATGCTCTCTTGAGGCCAGCACCGTGGCATAGCGCGCCAAGCCTCTGCCTGTATGTGGGTGCCGGTTCAAGTCCTACCTCCTCCACTTTCCATCCAGCTCTCTGCTGATGGCCTGGGACAACAGCAAAAGGTGACCCCAATCCTTGGGCTCCTGCACCCCCACGGGAAATCCAGAAGAAGCTCCTGGCTTCAGATCGGCTCAGCTCTGGCCGTTGCAGTCATTTGGGAAGTGAAACAGCAGGTGGAAGATCTCTCTGCTTTTCCTTCTCTCTGTTTTATCTGACTTTCTAATAAAAATAAACAAACACATGTAGAAAAAAAAAAGGTATCTCTTTTTTAAAAAGAGAGATTTATTTATTTGAAAGATAGAATTACAAAGAAAGAGACGTTCCATAGAGCCACAACAGAATTGGACGCCCAGAACAGCATCCACGCAGGTGCAAGGCCCCAGCACTAGAGCCAGCCTCCCCAGCTTTTCCAGACCTCGTTAGCATCCATGTACAGATGGCTGTTTGCACTCGGAGGGTCTCCAAGACACCCCTGCCTGGAGAGGAGGGAGGCGCTGTGGCCAAGGGCGTCTTTCTGAGCCCTTTCCTCCAGGTCAGACTGCTGGGCCACTGAATTCCCTGCACTGCCCCCTCGTGACCCTGTTGGTTTTCGCTGAGTGACCTAAGATACACCTAACTGTCAGTAGCATGGCAATCTGGACACAGTCCAGTCCCAGGGTCCGAGCTCTGAGCCGGGTGAGCTGGCAGCCAGCTAGAGAAGCATCTCTGTGGGCAGCCGGAAGTGGAACGGGGGCTGTGCATGCTGGGCAAAGAGGGACTCTCCCTGGGAAAATCAGAAAAGGCTACCTGGAAGAAGGAGCTCTTAGGTTGGGATGAGTAAGTCCACCAGGAAAAGAATGCTATGGAGAGAGACATTCACTCATTCAATTAGCATCTCCTGGAACCAGCTAATGCAGGATGCAAGATGACTCAGGGCTGAACCCAGGGTCAGAGGGGGCTGACGCAGGCTCAGAGGGGGCTGACGCAGGCTCAGAGGGGGCGGGATGCAGGCTCAGAGGGGGCGGGATGCAGGCTCAGAGGGGCTGGACGCAGGCTCAGAGGGGGCTGCACGCAGGCTCAGAGGGGGCTGCACGCAGGCTCAGAGGGGGCTGGACGCAGGCTCAGAGGGGCTGGACGCAGGCTCAGAGGGGGCTGGACGCAGGCTCAGAGGGGCTGCACGCAGGCTCAGAGGGGGCTGCACGCAGGCTCAGAGGGGCTGGACGCAGGCTCAGAGGGGGCTGGACGCAGGCTCAGAGGGGCTGGACGCAGGCTCAGAGGGGCTGCACGCAGGCTCAGAGGGGGCTGCACGCAGGCTCAGAGGGGCTGCACGCAGGCTCAGAGGGGGCTGCACGCAGGCTCAGAGGGGGCTGACGCAGGCTCAGAGGGGGCTGGACGCAGGCTCAGAGGGGGCTGGACGCAGGCTCAGAGGGGGCTGCCCACTCGATGAGAGGGAGAGCTGGGGGGCGATGAAGCCTTGGGTGGATGGGGAGAAGCCCGGAGCCAAAGTTCCCAGGACCTGGCAGGGACAAGGCAGTGCTAAGACGAGAGGGGAAGGCAGGTTTGGAGCCAGGCAGCTGTGCACCTGTGTTCCTGGAACGGCAGGGCTGCGGGAAGGGGCACGTTGTGACAAGAGCGGGTTAATCCACACGGGACCAGATTCCTCAGCCTTCTCCTTGTGGGGAGGGCCCAGAGCGGGGCAGGTGCAGACTGGGCGTGGCTTCCTCCGGGGTCCCTAACTCTCTAGCATCTCTTCTTCCCCCCACACCCTGGGTCCTCGGGGACCTTCCTCTGGGTGTCCCCCCTGCCCTTCCCCTGCTCACAGCTGCCCATGCCTGCCACCTTCCCTCCAAATCCACCTTTTTTCTCCCACCCAACCTGCTCTGGGAGGTTGATCCCGCAGGATCTTCCCCTCATTCCTCCTCCTCCTGACCCCACAGGTCATGAATGGAGACACCCCACTCTGAGGGCACCTGAGGGAGGCCCCCCTTGCCTGTCAACACCCCAGCCCTGCCCCATCCCGCCCATGTA